TTTTTCGATTAATCGATTTTAGATCGACATGCCTAGTCGGTTGTGTTACGTAATACGTAGTACTATTACTACTATTATTTATTTTGTGGTTGTGTTGAGACATTGGGTGCGTTTGGCAGGAAAAAGCGCTAGCAAGCGCTTACAAGCGCTGAAATAGTTTTCGGTCAGGACAAGATTGCTACTTCAGTAGCGCTAACACAATCCGCCATTTTGCTTGTTTAATTTGTTTGTTTTGAAGTAGAGTTTATAAGTTTTTTTGTGCAATATTAATTATTTTGTTTTAAGTAATATAATGACATGAATAGACATATAGATGTTATTAAAAATTCATGATTGATAAGTTTTTAATATGAATACTTTACAAACATATATTTAAATTAGGTTAGGTTCCCCAGTTAAAACTGACTTCTTGTCCTAGAGGAAAATAGCTACTTACGATTTGACAGCGCTTACCGCTTACGATCGCCATTTTGCTTACAAGCGCTGAAATAGTTTTCGGCTAGTACACGATTGCTACTTCAGTAGCGCTGACACGTAGACAGAGAATGTTTTGGTTTTTTTTTTTTTTTTTAATTTTTTTTTTTATTATTTTTTTTTTCTATTTATTATTTTTAATCTAAAAAAAAAAAAAACTCCCTAAAAAAAAAAATATAAATTAATTGGCCTTCGCAAAGTGGTATGTTCCGAAATACAACGCAGTGTACTGCCCAATGCAAACGAAGGCATAAATCGACGCTATACTGGTGATCCGTTCCAAAACATTGGCCAGTATATGACGTTATACTTTTGCGCCATTTAGTAAAGTGTTGGCGATTATTTTGTCATTTTGTGACCCAAAAATCATTATATCCTCCTAATGGATATACCAGCAATTATTCTATAATTTTTTGTATTTGCATAAATAGAAACAAATTCTGGCATGCTTCATTCAGCGCACACACAATTAAAAATTGTTTTGTTGTGGCCGGATATCCGACGCAATATGGCGACGGCACGCCAGTACTATAGTGTCAATTGATGACGTCATTAGCATTTAACAGTGTACTGTATTGTATTTCGGAACATACCCAACGCCTAAGGGTATTAGTGTTCTGTGCCCAAGATTCTCTGTCTACGCGCTGACAAAATCCGCCATTTTGCTTATTTAATTTGTTTGTTTTGAAGTAGAGTTTATAAGTTGTTTTGTGCAATATTAGTTTTAAGTAATATAATGACGTGAATAAACATTTACATGTTATTAAAATTTCATGATTGGTAAGTTTTTAATATGAATACTTTACAAACATATATTTAAATTAGGTTAGGTTTCCCGGTTAAAACTAACATCGTGTCCTGGAGGAAAATAGCTACTTATGATTTGACAGCGCTTACCGCTTACGATCGCCATTTTGCTTACAAGCGCTTGCTAGCGCTTTGTTCTGCCAAACGCACCCAGTGTTGTGTGTGTTGTGATCATAAATTAAATTATAAAGTTGTATGGTTGTGATCGTGAGTTCGTTTGCGTTTAAAATTCTGGAGTTCTCCTTATCAACCACACTTTCGTTTTTGGATTTGATACTAGAGATGAGTCATACTAGGTAAATTTCGTACTAGGTGCACCCAGTCCAATTCCGTATAAATACTCGATCCAAATACCTGTTCCACCTAGTCCATAAAGTATCAAGTACACATAAAGTTTAGTATTGTTGGAATAGGAATAGGATACGCTATAGTTTCAAGTACCATATTTTACGTGCGTACTGCTGAAACGTGTGCAATAATGAATTCATACATCTTCCCTTCATACTTTACAAAATTATTATAATTATTCTCGTAACTAAATTACGAGAATTAAGGTTACATGAGAAATAAATTAAGATCATTTACTTCCAATTACTTCAAATGCTACTTAGTAGTACTTCATATTTTGTAAAATTTGTTTTAAAAGATGTTTATCTTTGATTTATTTGAAAAACTCTAGAATGGGAGTACTCACCTATTGATTTTGTATGTCTTGATTTTAAGCTGCTATGTTATTATTGATTTTACTAGTTGCTATAATTCTATAATTGGTTGATGCAGCTCATACTAATGACGGCAGGGAGAATTTAAAGTGGATTATTTTCATTTATCTCTCATATAATCTTAATAGTAACGAGCCTAATTATAATATTTTTTTAGAATATTGTTTGCATAATTCTTATAAATAACATTAAAAAAAGAATTGTTCTGAAAAATAAAAAGTGAGTTTGTCAGTTCCGGCGCACGACTGAAGTTCACTCCTTACGAACGATTATAAAATATATAGATTAGTAAATGTGGGTAAATGAACGCATTTTTATACTACTAAAAGCATGCATGACACATTTACTTATATTAATTATTTAATGTATATTCATCAAAACATATTACATAATCATCGAAACGTAAATTGTTTACGCTTCCAATACTATGTTATGTAGTCATGGAAACATGAAAACAGCGTCCACCGAGATCACATTCGCATGAGTCCGTACCGTATTTGACAATAGACACTCGCCTGCCTTGTACTCTTGTATAAGTATTTGGTTGAACTAGTCCAAGTCCCGACTAGTCTCGTACTAGTATTTGGTTGAACTTAGAGATGAAGCGTATATACTAGAACAGATCCAGGGACTAAGTATTTAACGAGACTAGGTTGCACCTATTCCAACTTTTAAAATACTTGATCCATCTAGTCTCACTGTGCCTACGCGTCGTACTCGTATTTTATTGCCGTAGACTGTAGTTACTAGGCGCTCAACTCGGGTCGTCTTTTCCTAAATCATTAGTTTGTCAGTCATTTGAATTTGAACCAAATTTTAATGGACATTAAGGTAACGTGACGCGCACTCGTGTTTGTTGTGTAATAATATATTCCGTCCTTTTTTAACTAGACTATTCCGTAGTCTTTCTATCTTTGTCTGTCAATACTCGAGACTCGAGACTAGTCGGGACTCGGACTAGTTCAACCAAATACTAGTACGAGACTAGTCGGGACTCGGACTAGTTGTACCAAATACTTATACAAGAGTACAAGTCAGGCGAGTGTCTATTGTCAAATACGGTACGGACTCATGCGAATGTGATCTCGGTGGACGCTGTTTTCATGTTTCCATGACTACATAACATAGTATTGGAAGCGTAAACATAACAAAACGAAAGTAAAACATATTTTGATGAATATACATTAAATAATTAATATAAGTAAATGTGTCATGCATGCTTTCAGTAGTATAAAAATGCGTTCATTTACCCACATTTACTAATCTATAATATATTTTATAATCGTTCGTAAGGAGTAAACTTCAGTCGTGCGCCGGAACTGACAAACTCACTTTTTATTTTTCATGACAATTCTTTTTTTTAATGTTATTTATAAGAATTATGCAAACAATATTCTAAAAAAAAATATTATAATTAGGCTCGTTGCTATTAAGATTATATGAGAGATAAATGAAAATAATCCACTTTAAATTCTCCCTTCCGTCATTAGTATGAGCTGCATCAACCAATTATAGAATTATAGCAACTTAAAATCAATAATAAGCATAGCAGCTTAAAATCAAGACATACAAAATCAATAGGTGAGTACTCCCATTCTAGAGTTTTTCAAATAAATCAAAGATAAACATCTTTTAAAACAAATTTTACAAAATATGAAGTACTACTAAGTAGCATTTGAAGTAATTTAAAGTAAATTATTTTAATTTATTTCTCATATAACCTTAATTCTTGTAATTTAGTTACGAGAATAATTATAATAATTTTGTAAAGTATGAAGGGAAGATGTATGAATTCATTATTGCACACGTTTCAGCAATACGCACGTAAAATACGGTACTTGAAACTATAGCGTATCCTATTTCTATTCCAACAATACTAAACTTTATGCGTACTTGATACTTTATGGACTAGGTGGAACAGGTATTTGGATCGAGTATTTATACGGAATTGGACTAGGTGCACCTAGTACGAAATTTACCTAGTACGACTCATCTCTAGTTGAACTAGTCCGAGTCCGACTAGTCTCGAGCCACCATACCACATGTACCATATATTACTTTCTTATCTCGTCTCGAGTATTGACAGACAAAGATAGAAAGACTACGGAAACGCGGAGCGGCGCGTCACGTTACCTTTATGTTCATTAAAATTTGGTTTAAATTCAAATGACTGACAAATTAATGATTTAGGCAAAGACGACCCGAGTTGAGCGCCTAGTAACTACAGTCTACGGCAACAAAATACGAGTACGACGCGTAGGCACAGTGAGACTAGATGGATCAAGTATTTATAAGTTGGAATAGGTGCAACCTAGTCTCGTTAAATACTTAGTCCCTGGATCTGTTCTAGTATATATGCTTCATCTCTATTTGATACCGTTACTTTCCCATCTGTTTACCTGACTCTCGTTTTTGGACTCTTACTTTGCTCATCTGTTGACCTGGCTTGTGTTATAAGGACTTCGGCGGCTTTCTTGTATCTTTAAATCGTCAGGTAAACAATTTATTGTTTAATTACTATTATACACATACCATAATTTCCACTTGCCAAGATCTTTCCCTAGTATTATTGCGTTCATAAGTGCAGTCCGTAGAAATACTTTATGAAATGCGGTGACTCGCTTGGCTTACAGACAGGTAAAAGCTAAGACTGCACTTAATAGCCACGATCGTTCCTAGGTACATCAGTATTAGAGATAGCTAATATGCTTACGACAAAACTATTTATTTTAGGTTCTACACAATGGTGTCCTGTACTTTGTGTTCTTCTGTAATGAATGAAAATGGCCAATGTTATCTATTTGATAATATGGGTCCTGATATCATTTCTACAAATGAAAATGACCTTGGTCATGAGGTGAGAACGTTAATTGTTTAGAATTATGGTTTCATATGTCACGTAACTAACTATGTAATAATTACAGAAATATTATTCTCTTTTAAGTGAATAAAGATAGTACAATATGTGCAAATTGTTTTGCGAACATTACGCACAAAATGTCTGTTCCTGCTCCAGCTGATACAATGACATATCACAAGGAGATGTCACCTCCTCCTCATGAAGGACAACAACATACAAATGTTTGTGTATGGTGTCAAAGCTCCTTACATAACAGGCGTGCTCACGCCCTTCCAGAGGGCCCTGAAAGACGCCTAATCTCTGAGAGAATTTCACCACAAAAGGTAAGTATTTGGTAAACTTACATTGACATGATGACGCTTGGGGTCACAGATTAAATAAATCATTAAATCTTTTATCTTTAATTTTCATTATTGTGATTGGTTAATTCAGTCATTTTTTATAGATACTGGATGGTAGCCTAGTATGTTATACATGTTGGGTTCGAGCAAGAAGCATTCTGCAGCGACAGTGTGAAGTAATTAGTGAAGAAACTGCTTCCTCAGCAATTTTGAATAGTTGTGTATGGTGCCTTTGCTCTCTGAACCGAAGACGAAGACACTCAATACCAGAAGGACCTGAGCGGAATGAAATTATCACACGAATTTATCCCAGAGAGGTAGCATCTCATTTTTTCGTTCAACTATTTTTTATAGTTAACATTACTATTGATTTAATGATTATTTGATTATGAATGATGATCATAATTAACAATTTTTTTGTATGGTCTAGATTCCACCAGGTGGACTTGTATGTTATGCATGCTGGGTCTCTGCACGTAGAAATGTGAAAAGAGGTGCAAATATTGATAAGAGGCGTGAAGACCAAAAACACAATCATCGTAATGTTGTTTGTGCATCATGTGGAATATCATTATTCCGAAGGCAAACACATTCTTTACCCAGTGGACCTGAAAGAGATGAAGTGGCAGCAAGAATTTATCCCCGAGAGGTAATTATATTTTCTTGAGATAAATACATAGATACCTATTGTTGTCAGTCTTTAGTGACAATTATTGAAGTGTAGTTGTAACTGGTGTGGTTTAAACTTGGTTTGACTTTTTCATCTTTATTTACATTGCATAATATTTATGACCCTATCATGTTAATCTTATTTAAACAACCCTTTTTTAGTTACCTGGTCATGCCCTTGTCTGCATAACCTGCTGGACGCAAACAATTGAAAATGTACAGGTTCAGCAAGTAAATGAGCAACTGCCGCAACCAAGAATGGAAACAATACAACTTGATCAGTTCACCCACACAACCAGCTCTAGCAGAAATTGTTTTGTACCTCTATGTACACATTCTGAAAGGTTGCGTGTGCCACGTTGTCTTCGTAAACTAATCCTCACTTCTCAAAAAGTATTTGTCACCGAGAATGCAAGAATTTGTAATGAACACAAATCATTACATAATTGGGAGTTTTTAGATCAGCATGAATTTTCCAATACTTTTACCAAAAATGAGATGGAGTCAATGCTGAATCTGGCAATTGATGTCCAGGAAATTAATTAAATCAATTCCATTGATGATAATATTTTTGTATTCTGGACTGGCTTATCAAAAGAAAGATATTTTAACATTTTTCAAGTCAAGCATTGCCATCACTTAAGACTCCACATACTGCATTGGGGGTTATATTTAATAATTACTTGTTTTAACGAAAAACTTATAGTTCGCACAAACACCACAAATTAGTAAAACCATTTTTGCTTGTGACCACTTATGGATATATAACTGATGTATTTGGGCCCTACCCAGAATAAAAATGGGGTCTTAAGAAGATTTTTCAGGGAAAATTATGTTTTCATTCATCAAGATAAATCACTAGGTAAGTTATTTATAAAATTATTATTTTTAAGAAATCACAGTCATTGTAAGTGTACCAACACTCAATCACCATTGTTGCTTACTCCGTGTTTACTCCATATTAATTACATTTTTGCAGATGCTCATAAAGTAGGCCTTATGAGCATCTGCAAAAATGTACTTAATATGTTTGTTATCCCTCCTCCTCTATCTCCTTATTTAAATAACCACAAAGCGACGTAATACCTCCAGGAGTCAACCTTCAACCTCCACAGAAATAAACATGTCAAACGTCACTAATCCATAAAAGTGACAGCTTACTGCCATGACTGGTTTTTGTTGTGTGTTGCAATTTCAAGTGTAATTTCTTGTGCTTTACTAACAAACAAAACCATTATTAAATCATTGGACAGTTGAGAAATGTTTAAAATGTGTATCCCCATTTTTGAGTATAGTGTACAAGGATCTGGCCCAGGCTCCATACCGCATTACACTCAAGCTGGCTTCCTACTAAGCCATTATACAATGCTACAATAGCTTTAATGTTGTGAAACAACAAGCCCTGCGCAGTATAAAATGATTTTGAAAATTAAGTAACAAGGTGAAACAAACATCCAAATCCTTAACCTCGTTCACTCATGCCTTAGCTACTCCATGCAGCGCATACCTTTAGAAGACGGAATTGCATGCGCGACTAAAAGTTAGCGTTACACACTTAGATAAATTAAACTGCAACTTGGTCAAATGTTCTTGAGCTGTTGATATAATTTGTGAATTTTGAAGTAATTTGCTGTGTTATTGTGTTTGAACTCAGTTCAATAGTAGCAAAAGTCAAAAGCAAGATGCCTAATTGCAATATAATCGGATGTGGCATCAAAAGAAGCAGAAATCACCCGAACGTGACTTTACACCAGTACGTACTTAAATTTAGCTGAAATATATTTAGATTTAAAAAAAAATCTGCATTCGTTGAAGAGTTTCAATAGTGAAACATTAATTATTTCCCTTATGCTTTTATTTTCAACAGTTGTACTTCATGAAATCATGTTCTTGTTATTGAAGGCATAGAGTAATGCATTTAGACATTTTTATATTTATCAATAATGCTATTTTATGGTTCTTTATTGGATTTATGTTTTACTTTCAAGGCTGCCTGCTAATAAAGAAAAAAAGAGAATTTGTCTGAAAACAATGGTGTTGAATATTTAAAGATGTCAACAAAAACAATTTCATATTTGTTCTGCTCTCTTTCAAGAATTATTTTTCAACCGGACACTGAATAAAGTAATATTGCGTGACGATGCCTTACCTTCACAAACCTTATTGGTAAGTAAGTTGTAGTAAGTTGGAGGCTGCTCTTTGGTACTAGGTTGCCCCTCGAGAATCTTTCTTCCCCATCGGTTTTCAGTTCTTCGTGATATATGGGCGACCCGTTGGCATGTTAGCTTACTTATTCGTTCGAGATTGTAATTATTCATTAAAAAATCATAAAATTCATATTTACTTCATTTCCAATAAACTTGCAAGTTTAGGAGGTTAGGTATGTTATTATACAGAATGGGGTCCCACATATATGCAATAAATGAAACCATATACTTGTTATCGCCTTTGCTGACGATATACAAAAAATGAACGTAATCGGTCCAGTAATTAGGTCAAAAAGTAGAGTTTTAATTTTAAGCAAATTTGAACTCTATAGAATTGGGTCACTAAGTCAATGATTCAATGAACTTGAATCCTTGAACATTAAAAAGCGACGTTGCCACGCAGTGCAAACTATTGGTATTGCGACATATCGACAGCGGTGTCTTTTGTCGGCGTCCATAAACAAGCGGCACGAGGCACGCGGCGTACTTCAAAGGCGACAGCGCAAGTGCGCGCGCGCCTTTGTCGTAGAGTAGGACACCAGTTATCGACGATTAGCTTCTTTCAAAGGGAGTAATAATCGATAAACAAAAAAAAATGTTTAGCTTTAAACACTTAGGGTATGGTTTTTTTTAAAATAATCGTGTTGTTATGATAATTCTAAAAACACTACGACCTAAGTATTTAAAGCTAAACTTTAAAGCTTTTCTGTTTAAGTGTGTTCTTGTAGATTTAGAGATAATAAATTATTTTAATATGCTAAAAAACCCATAAAAACAACCAATTAAAAAGTCGTACATACTTACCCGTTTCCCAGGAAGTTACAAATTGGTAGTTTCGTAAGTTCAATTGTATAAAAATAAACTTTTTTTTTAACAATCAATAACTTGTCGATTGTTATCAAATCAAAAATCAAAATTACTTGTATTCAAATGTAGTAGGTAAGTAAGTGTAAAAAGAAAAGTATCGATAAACGACAATTGCATTTTGGAATTTGGAAATTCAGCTTCCAGTTCACGCGCAATTCTCCCAGAATACAGGTGTGTTTCGCTGCCTACACGCATCGCAATTATTTATCTTAAGATAATTATCGTATTATCGTAAGATAAATCAATTATTCGAACAATTCTTTTACGGTGGAATAGACACTTATTAGTTAATTGACTTTGTGTGTGTAAATAGTGTTTTTAAGTACGTTTATTTTTATTATTTTTTCACTGTGATATTGATACTACTTGACTTTTGTGTATACGTTTTGGCAGCGGAAAATGCCAAGACAACAGCATTTTTACAGTGCGGCAGAGTATACAGACATGGTTTTATTGTATGGCGAATGCCACCAAAATTCAGCGTTAACTCTGCGTACTTATAGTGAGAGATGCGGCGCAACTCGCGTCTGCCCTACTAGCGTCCGGACAATCCTAGGTGCTGTCCAAAGAATCAGGGAAAATCAGCGCATAGTGCCCAACACTCATGAAGGAGTTGCTCCGCGTCACTTTCCACCCTCGTTCGAACAACGAGTCTTAGATCATTTCGATCGGAATCCAACCTGCAGCCTTAGACAAGCTGGGCGTGTGTTTAAAGTGAGGCATAAAACAATACACCGAGTGCTGAAAAGGAACAAACTACGTCCTTATAAATATGTTAAGGTGTAGGCGCTGCTGCCCCGCCATAAGCCGATTAGAGAATCTTACTGCCACTGGGTACTGGAAAAAATGTCTCAAGACCAAAGTTTCCTAACAAATGTGTTTTGGACAGATGAAAGCACGTTTACTCGAAACGGCATATGGAACCGACAATCCATGCGTTACTGGAGCCATACGAATCCCCATTTATTTAGGGAATCAGCTCATCAATACCGATTTTCCATTAATGTTTGGGCAGGCATTCACGGAGATCAAATAATCGGCCCTATTTTTATTGACGGAAACCTGAATGCACAGAAATTTCTCAATATTCTTAACGGCCCAATAACAGAATATTTAGAAGGATTGTCTGTGGCAGCTTACCAAAGGGTATGGTTCCAGTTAGATGGAGCTCCTCCACACTCTGTACTCCTCGCGAGAGAGTGGCTTAACACCATGTTCGGCGAACAATGGATAGGGCGCTATGGCCCTCGCAGGTGGCCAGCTCGATCGCCCGACCTCACTCCTCTAGACTTCTTTTTATGGGGCTTTATTAAAAATGAAGTGTATTCAAAGATCTCCGAAACCGAAGATGAACTGCGCAATCGTATTGTTGCCGCCTTTAACAAATTAAAAGCCCTGGCTCTGGATCCTGAACGAAATTTGTTGAGCAGGCTTCAGGACAACATTATGCGGCGATGTAACTTGTGCATTCAAGAACGTGGCGGACATTTTGAAAATTTTAAAATTTAGGGTTTCATTAAATTTTGCTACTAATATGCAATAATATTTATTTCGTTCAGTTCCATTTTCGCGAAATAAAAAAGTGGCGGTAAAATATCTAAACAGTTTAGTGAGTAAGTTTTTATTTCGTCGCACATTGTGCAACGAACCATAAGCCGTGCCGACAATCGCCATGCCACCCGCGTGCAACGTTGTCACTCTTCCAAGGGATCAAGGTACGTTGTCTAAACAGAGTGTTCACTTTTACTTAATTTATTTTAATATTTATTTTGTTTGAAAATTTCACTTTTTTTATTTTACGGGTTTTAATTTAATATTTAATTTTTCTACACTTCTACGTAGCTCAGTGGTTAACGCTCGCTGTAAATATAACAGAACGCGAGTAACCCGGGTTCGATCCCCGCCGGCACCAATGAAATTGTTAATTGCAATTTTAAGTGCTGATTTACCACGTGCTCGGCGGTGAAGGAAAACATCGTGAGGAAACCTGCATGTCTGAGGAATAAGAAAAAAAAAATATTTCGAAGACATGTGAAGTTCGTCAACACGCATTTGGGCAGCGCGGCGGACACTTCCTTGCCCTAAACCCTCTCAGAAATGAGGGGAGGCCTGAGCCCAGCAGTGGGACGTATATAGGCTGTAACTTTACTTTTTTTTTACTTTACACTTCTACGGACTAGTATTACTTGTGGTTTCATTTATTGCATATATGTGGGACCCCATTCTGTATATATGAATCGCTGTGACAAAACATTATAATTTTTTTCAAATGAAAATAAATTCAAAGAAGAAATTATTTCCATGCCTACAGTAAATCATTACACATAATATAATGTAATGTTACATGTTATAAATTTGTTCAACATGATTGTGTACTGGCAAGCCTCAGTCATTCTTGCTACCTGCGTGAAATAATTACCTACAATCACGAGCCTCCCAGGATAACATAAGCAGTCGGGGCTAGCGCGTTCT